CCTTCCTTCCTTCCTTTCTTTCTTTCGATGGAACCCAGAGCCTTGTGCATGCTAGGCAAGCATTCTACCACTTCTCAACTTCCCCAGCCTTCCTGGCAACTACCAATCTACTTTCTGTCTTTATGGATTTGCTAGTTCTCAGGAAAAGACAAGAAGAATGGAGCTGACTTATGGGGAAGATGGTATACTAATAGTAATGCCTTGAGTTTGCACAGCACTTGAGGTTTACAAAACATATTCACAAAACCACCTCATCTAAGTACTGCAAAAGTGCCTTGCTGTGGGAATGATCAGCCCCATTTTAATAAGGTAGCTGAAGCCCCAGAAGATGACTTGCCAAGATCAGATCTGAGGTTTTGTGGGAGTACCTTCACCACTGTGTCATAATGGTAATCCTCAACAAAGAAGGAGCGTGGGAGCCTTGGGGCAGTTGCCCATACCTGCTGTCACTTGTACCTCCTTTACCCTAAAGGCTCCTGCCTATCCAGGTGGCACTAGAGACAGGGGTTTGGGGCTGGTAAAAAAGAATGGATCACCACTGCTTTAGTTTCTGCATATTCTCATAGTGTCTTTAGTTTCATCATCTGAACAGTGATACTGGAAAGAAAAGAGGCATGGGAAATGGAGACACAGCCTTTTGGATGGAGGGCTCATTTTATTTCATAAGCTCATTTCTTGTCATCTTCCTTCCTTCTACCCTCTTTGTCTAACAGAATAAAGAATAAAATAAAAGGGCTGGGATTGTGGCTCAGTGGTAGAGTGTTTGTCTAGCATGCATGAGGCACTGGGTTTGATCCTCAGCACCACATAAAAATAAAATAATGTGTCCTCCTTTAAAAAAAAATAACATAAAACAGAAACTTACAACAAAGGAACACCTTAGGGTCTGAGGCAGGTATGGGCCTGAGTGTAGTGGAAAAGAAGAGCTAGCCAAAGGGGAGAGGGCACAGTAGGTAGTGAGGATGCACTTCCTCTTGAAGCATTAAAATGGGACCTTTCTTATTTGTAATTATTGGCCATGAAACACTTGGTTACATCTAAGTTATATCTAATTCAATCGAATGTATGTTCCACCAAGGCTCTTCCTAATTGCAGTTAGTATTTTGTAATTTTACAAGATGACTTTTGGTTGGTAGAAAGGGAGCTCCCATATTCCTAGGAGTGCTCCAACCCCTTGACTAGAGACCCTAAAGAAAAGCCACACTTCCATCATTACCCCCAATATCAGCTTCCTGCTTACGTGCTTCAGGAATAGGCTGGGAACTCCACTTTTCTGGAGTCTCAGGGAAGACCTTAGATAACTGCTTGTTGTACCGATTGAGGTTTTCCAGGAAAATCTGGTCTCTCTTTGCACCAATCTTATGGATGATCTGGACTTTATCTGTGAACAAAGAATCAGTGAGTCCCCCAGAACCTTCCTCTTTTCTCTCTTCCTGGTTTCTATTCACCAAGATCAGGCCAAATTTCCTTTTGCCTTAATCTAAGCCCTAGGACCCAAGATTACCATGCTGTGGGACATCCTTTGAAGGTTTTTTTCCAATTTAACATCTTAGTGGCAGAATAATCTCAAAGTGAGCAAAGGGAAAAAGGTGGGCAGAGAAGAGGTAGGGTGCTTCCAGAGTCAAATCCTGCTTAAGTTACAATCCCATCTTCCACTCCCTCCTTAGTAAGGTGAAGGGATATGGTAGTGGGGAAGAGAACTGGTTCCTTCCCATCAGACACCACCGCTGCAACTCCTGTGCTGGTACCCAGGAGCTGTAGCATGAAATCCCCAGGACATCCAGGGCCTCACCTCCCTTTGTATCCCCCAGCCATCTTCATTTCCTTGGTCCACACCCACCTCTACCTCCCCCATAGGGGCTGGCGCAATTACCAAAGTAAATCTCTTGCTCAAACTTGTTGTCTGTGGAGTAAGCAAACTCTCCAGCTGCAGGATTCACCTGTCGGAAGCAGCTCTCCTTTGGGGGCTGGATGATGCTTCTCTTTTCCTCGATATCCTCAGCTGTGGTATTTCTGCCAGGCATGCTTTCAACTGTCTGCACTTGTGGGGAGTAATTGGGCAATCTTGGCAGAGGTGAGAGAGGGGGAAAATGGGAAAGGTACCCCACTTTCCATTAGATTTATGATTCACCACAGCTCTTAGGCTCAGCTCCCACACATGTGAGCGACTGAACACCTGTATTTAACTATTAACTTTGTCCCTAAGATGACAGTTGAATATGGAGCCATCAGAAGGCTTGTCTTCAGCTACCTTTTACCTCCACGGATGGGGCCACACCTTCTGCAGCCACTGGCAGCACTGTAGGGTGGCCATGCTTCCAACATAAGCCACAGCCTGCCCCAGCGGGATTGAACACAGGGCCTCACACATGGTGGGCAAGAGCTCTGCCACTAAGCTATATCCCCAGCCTTTTTTATTATTTTTATTTTAAGACAGGATCTTGCTAAGTTGCCCAGCTGACCTTGAACTTGCCATCTTCCTGTCACAACCTCTCAAGTAGCTGGGATGACAGGCATACACCACCAGGCCTGGCAGCATAATGCTGCCCCCTCCCCACTTTTTAAAACATTGGTTCCCTTAGAGTTTAAAAGGACTTAAAGAAGGGACCTCACCTCTTACATTACCTCACCCTAAAAGTGTGGGTAGTTATTTAATATCTGTCCACCCAGTTGACAGGCTATAATCTTATTAAAGGTACACATCTGTTCTTTTATATTGAAGTTCCAGCAGACTATCTGAAAATAGCAAGAATGTAATTTATATTTGTCCAATAAATGAATAAATAAATAGATACATATCCACTTGTGACTGGTTCTCTGCCCTGCAGCTGCCTGGGTTTTGAGTCAGTGACACCTGGCTTTGTACAGAGTGAGACAGAGTCAGACCTCAGTGCTGTGAGGTGTCTGCCTTCCTTACTTTCACCATGGATACATTTCTGGGAACACCAGAATGGTAACTGGAATAGCAGTTGGATAGCTACATCTGCTGGGGAAGGCCAAGAACCAATCTCTTTCCTTTAAGGTGGTGGTTCACAAATGGAGGTGATTTTTATCCCTCAGAAACATTTGATAGTGTTTGAGTCGTCTTTGGTCGTCACAACTTGGGGGTGCTACTAGCATCTAGCGGGGAAATGCCAGAGATGCTGCTAACATCCTACAATGCATAGGACAGCTCCTTAAAACAAAACAAAACAAAACATGTGTTTAACCCAGAATGTCAGTAGTGCAAAGGCTGAGAAAATTACTTTGAAGAGATCGCAGAGAATGGTTGGTAGTAGAGAGCATGAGGTTGATAGTAGAATACATTGCAAAATAAGGAATGTATGCTGGAGGTGTAGCTCAGGGGTAGACCCTTGCCTAGAGTGTGTGGTAAGCCCTGAGTTCCATCCCCAGCAACACAAAAAATTAATAAGATAAAATAAAGAGTGTGAGCCCACCTGGGAGTCCTTGAAGGGGAGCTAGGGATCCTCAGTGGCACACCTGGGGCCTGGTCAGCCTACCTGTAGTAAACAGGAAGCCGCAACTCTGGCTGCTTTTCTTCCTTGGAGGGCAGGATGATAACTGGAGGCTCAAACTCTGCTGTCTCTTCTGCCTCCAGCTGTTTCAGGAGCTCCAGGTCGCTTTTGGAGGTGAGCTCATCCCGGATGTGGCTCCAGTCATACTGCTGACGCAGGAACGTCTGCCACTTATTGGGTGATACCCCAGGCCTCGCAGGACGCTTGCTCTGGATCCACCGGGCTGTGCGCTTGTTCAGCTTTTCCAGCACGATGGCCTCCCAGTCTCTGGCCTCCTTCTCATGAGGGGGAAGCCACAGTTCCCTTTCCTCCAGGTTCACATCTGGAGAAGGCGGTGGACTCAGCAAATCTGGATCCTTTTGGGAATAAAGGGGGAGATGGGGAGATGCTCTCTGGATTATGCTTGCTGGCTTTGATTTCTTCTGCTTCTTGACAAGATTGTCAGGGCTTGCCGTCTTCATAGCCTGGGAGATGTCCTCTGTTCTCAGGGACTTGACACTGACAGGTTTCTCACATTGGGCCTTCCTGATCTGGGAAGGTGGGACGATGTCATCTGTGTCATAGATATGGTCAAAGCTATACTGGCTGTAAGGCATGCTTGGCAGGCCTCGCTGCCACATCACCTCCTGAGAGAAGGTAAGGTTGGCAGCAGCCTTCTTCAGATACTGGTTCTTGAGCTTTGCACAGCGCTGAGGGCCAAAGTGGAAGACGGGTGGCACATTGGAGACAGATGCACAGACCTCTTGGTTCAGTTTTGAGAAGCCAAGAGTCATACCCCATCCCAGCCGTGGGGGGAGTGACTCAGGGTACTGATGAGAGAAGAAGGTCTTTTCTTTTTGGGTCCCAATCATATTTCCTAGCAAAAGCTTTCTTCTATGCTGCCTGGTCCAGAGGCAGGGCCTGCAGCTGTGACAGGAACCTGTTAAGAGGATGGGACGAACTGGTGGAGGTCTGTAGAAATCAGACTCATGTACAGAAAGAGCCTATCTTGGAAGATAGATGAGAAAAGGAATGGGGTGGGGTGAGAAAGCCAAGCAGATTAGAAGGACAGAAGAAATAGTGCAACATATAAAGTATTTCCTTGTATCAGACCCAGTATTTATATCTGTCCCCAATAGTTTCCCATTTCTAATTGTCTTCAGACATTGCTTTTTCTCTGTTCAAAAGGCTTATAGTAAGCTAGGATGATGTCATATGCCTGGGTCCCTGCTCCCAAACAGGAGCATTGCTTGAGCCAGGAGTTGAAGGGTACCATGGACAACATAGCAAGATCCCCGCTCCCAACTCCGTCACACAAAAATAGCTTACAGCATAAAGTTCAAACAACTCAGCCTGGCATTCAGGGTTCAACATGAGCAGGACCCCAGCTTAGGACTTTGTTCTGACTGGTAAACTCTGCAAAAGCCAGCTGGATCCCCTAGCTGCTCTTTGAGTATTCCTCCACAAGCTTCCTCTTGTGCCTTCTGCATGAAATGGCCTTTTCTTCCATTCTTGACACAAATTCTATCTCTTCTCTTAGGACAACTCAATTCCCATACATGCCCATAACTTTTTCTATCCAGGCCCAGTCACACCCAAATTGATATCATTCCTAATTCATACCACTTAGTTTAACTATTACTCCTGTAACACCTCATGTTGTTAAATATTCGGCTCTCTAACTGAACTACCCACATCTGCTGTCTTTTCTGCTCTTCAAGTTACCCAGTACTTTTCCATATTGCTATATAATCTTCATCATTAAAATATTTGAGGAATAGCACATTTTTTCAACTGGATAAATAGCTTCATCTCTTCCTTAACTATTGGCTCTCTCCAGGTTTTAACTAAAATGGAAAGCACCGTAGAAAACAAATACTTTTAGTATTTTGTTTTGTATTTCCTTTGGAAATACTCTCTTGGTCTAATAATGATAGTTGAAAATCGTAGAGTATTTTGCTAAGGGCTTCACAGAGGGAAGGTTGTCGGAGTCCAGCTCCAACAGGGGGGTCTCAGGAGTCGGCGAAAGGGGGTGGAGAAACAACACAGACACAAAAGTGAAGGTGCTGAATCCCAATCTTTACTTGTGAAGTTAATCATATATACTTTTCATTTTGGCAGGCTCACAGTACTTTGTGGTTACAAAACAGGAATCATTATTCAAAGAAACAAAATATTACGTAGCTACAATTAGATAAGAAGAATGTATCTTGGCATATGCATGAGCAAGCATTTTTTCTTTCAGTTCGCATTTTGCTTTGAGCTGTTTCTGCTTAGTTAGTTTTTAATAATGTCCCAGACTATTGACCTGTACCTTGACTATTCTTTCTTGACTTAACTGACTAGAATTGGCGCCACGGTTATGGCAAGTGGTTAACTTGAAAAGAGAGGCTATTAATTTTAATCAAACAAGAGTAAGAGCACCAAACCATTGTGCACAGGAACAAGAACAAGTTGCCCAGTACTAAGCACTAATCTGTCTTCTTAACATTAATTCTTCTTCTCTAGATTTTAATTTAATTTCTCAAAAACTTCCTTGACTGTTTTTCCTACAGGGGGTTTTTCATTAAACATTAACAATTTACATTCCACAGCTGAATCATTGCATTTAGAGCAAACAGATTTATTCTTTAGAAGTAGTTGCATTAATTGAGAAAGTCATGTTTTTTCCTTTGTACTTAATGGTCATATGAGAAGTCACAACTATACTTATTAAAGGAATACAAAACCAAACCAGCCCATTCCCAGAAACACACTGCGCTCCTCTAGAGGATGGACGCCTTGTGCCATCCACCTCAGTAGGGCCTTGCCTTTGCCTGAGTCAGGGGAGGGGCGTAGCAGAAGGTATGATCCTGGAAGAAGCTGAGGCTCACCAAGATGAATTGTTTACATGGCCCATAAGTAGGGGAGTCAGGCTGCAAACCCAGTCTGCAGGACTATAGCTTCAGTGTAGTTAATCTCTGTGCCACTCTGGCCTTAGCTCAAGCTCCTCTCCTCACCACCTCAACATGCTAACCTGGCACTCCCAGGAGCAGGTACCACTATTCTTTAACATTCTATCTATCTCAGTCTTACCAACCTCTGCCCATCCTGGACTGCCCCAGTGTGCACCCACAGACCAGGTATGACTCTTCTCTTTCTCCACAACATGAAATACATACCTTCTGGCTCTAGGGTTTGATTTATCCTCCTGTCTTCCAAATAATAAATCTGACCTTGTGGTGTTTCTATTAAGGGTCAATTTTCATCTAGATGCTTCTAGACCAGAACTGATAACTTCCCTCAGATTATGTCACACGGGATTATTTTGATATTCTTGCAGGATATTTTTGCACATAAAATTAACTTTGGTTGTTTAATTTTTCACAACTGTGAAGACCTCGTGCCACAAGGGCACTCAGTAGTTAGTCAAAATAGAGAAATTAGGGCAAAGGTAGAGGCTGGGCACAGGAGATATTTTTCCTGAAAGAGTGCCTACTTGGTCTGATTGAAAATGAACTGTCACATGAGAACACTATTTGTGTTCTTCTGACTTAACATGTGCTCTAATAAAAATTTCAAATTCTTGCACAATGATGTGTATCTTGCTGCTTATGCTGAAGCATTTTGATTCCAAACACTTTAAAAACAGAAAGAGGATGATTGCCAGGATGACTGCCTGTGTGGGGTGATCAAGGTTGTCCCCAGATATATGTCTTTTAACATGTGACATAAGAAACCTTGGTAACAGTGCTAGCATTTTATCACTGTGTCTAAAACTGAGGACTAGAACAACTTAGAGGAGAAATGTTTATTTTGGCTCTTGGTTTCAGAGGTCTCAGTCCATGGTGAGCTGACTCTATTGCTCTGGGCTGGAGATAAAGTAGAACATCATGGCAGAGGAGAGCTGCTTGCCTCAGGGCAGCCAAGGAGCAGAGAGAGAACTCAAGTAGCCAGGGAGAAAATATGTAATCCTCAAGGCACACCCCCAGTGAAGCACTTTGTCCAGCCATACCTCATCTGTTTACAGTTATCATCCAGTAATTCATTCAAATTACTAACCCACTAACTGGATTAATCCATGGATTAGGATATAGCTCTCATAATCTAATCATTGTATGCCCTATATTTACACAGGAGCTTTTGAGCAACATCTCATATCCAAACCAAAACAGTAAAAATGTAAACAGAAAGAATACCATACTATCATTAGCAGTTATATTCTTAAGGAATAGTAGTTTTCATCTGATAGAGTGGCTAATCAAAAAGGAAGGAAACACATGAAAAGTCTATTTTAAACCTGATAATCTGCCCTCTTCTGGATGGAAAATGCCAAGATGAAGGTAACTGAAATATTTTCAACAGATTGGCAGAATGTAACTTTTGGTCAGAAAAGGCTCATCATTGTCAGTCTTAGAGTCATAAGGCCAGATTCTGCACTTCCCAACCATGACACCTTCAAAAAATGGTTTGCCAATCTGAAAATGGAGAGTCTGATACCTGTCCTAATTTAGTGTTGATAGGAAGCTGAAATTTAGTGTTGATATGATACCAGAAACTTGTGAAAATTCTGTGCAAGCTGCAAAGTACCTCCTCCCTCTATTCCAAAAGTTCCCCTCATTTCCACCCCCTCAACTTTCTAGTTTCCATTTCTCATTATGTATTCACACAGTTAAATAGCTGTCTCCAGAGATTATTTTGGAAATTCTGCCATAAAGATGATCTGTTCCAATGCTTCATTCAAGCTCTCTCTGGACTCCAAATCAGGGTCCAGAGAGAGCTTGATTAAGATCCTAGTCTTGGTTGGTATCTGAAGTAATACTGACTCTTTGTCACCTAATCATCCAGAGTCTGAAACTGCCCCAGGCTGCCTCATTCAGTGAATGCTCATGAAAACCTTTTTAATCCTGGTGCAGCCTGCAGTATTTTGAAATTACCTGAAAAATGGCCTCCTACAGCACAGTCCTTAAAGGAAAGCAAGGTCTTGTGCCTTCAGTCTTCTTTGGCTTCTTAGATTTAAAAGTTGTTTATATTGGTCACCAAGCAACCAACTCTTCAGAATTTCTTGAGTTTCCTGATGGAACCTGTGGATTCAATTGGGGGTATCTTTGACTATTGATTCAATTTCCTTCTATAAACTGAGTTTTGAGAAATTATATCATACTTATTGATTGGTGGCTTAGTGGATTTCTTAGCTTTTTGAAAAATAAACCTCTAGAGCTAGGCAGTTTAATTTTTTTTTTCCATAAGGAGTTTATACATCAGGGATCTCAGGGACCCAGAGTCTGCTTTTGCTAAAAAGCAGTGACTCTTCACTTGGGCCTGTATATGTCTGATAGATAATTAAAAGCAGTATAACAGCTTGACATCTCTATGTTCATTTGCCCCTGTCTCTTTTAAGTACTTCAAACTAGGGGTCAGATTACTGCTCAATTCTCCATATAGACATGTCAATCATTTAAGGAGTGTTCATATAAACCCGATAATCTGCCCTCTTCTGGATGGAAAATGCCAAGATAAAGGTATCTGTTTGTGACATTTATTGGGTCTCGTTGGCCCAGGTCATACTTTTCAGATGGTCATATCTTTTGTTTCCCAGCAAGACTGGCATTTGGGACCAGCCTGAGTACCGACGTCAGTGCCTAGGCACAAACTGTACTCAGACCCTGGGCTGCTGAAAAAGGGCAGAGGATGCTTTCTCTAGGATGGAAAGAGAAGGGTCGAAAGACGACAGGACTAAAATCAAAACCTTGTACATTCCTCAGAAAGTTAAACAGAATTACTGTGAATAGATATCAGTAGACTCACATTTATATGAAAGTCTCTGCTTTCAGTTATTTTGGGTGTATACCCAGAAGTGGACCTGTTGGATCATATAGTAGTAATTCTGTCTCAAAAAATAAAAAGGGCTGAGGATGTAGTTCAGTGATAGAGCACCCCTGGGTTCAGTCCCCAGGACCGCAAAACAAATAAACAAAAAAGAAATACCATGATGAGCTTCCTGGTAGCCACCTATTTACACACATTTGTAAATATTTACTTAGACACTATTCCTCGGAGTGGGATTGAGTCAAAGAGAATGCATCTTTTACTATTTTTTTTATACAGAATGCTCCAATATATGAGTGTATTTTCCAAATACTCTTCTCAACATAGGATATCATTATGTGAGAGGCAAATAAAGCATAATGGTTCAGAGCATAGGCTGGGGAATCTGTTTGCAAAGGTATGAATCCCAATACTCCCGTTTTCTAGATGTGTGATGTTCAACAAATCAGTTAACCCCTCATATAGTCCTTTTTTAAAAAAAATCCTGTTTTTCAGTTGTAAATGGACACAGTACTTTTATTTTGTTTGTTTATTTTTATGTGGTGCTAAGGATTGAACCCAGAGCCTCGCACCATGCAAGGCAAGCACTCTACCACTGAGCCACAACCCCAGCCCTTCATATAGTTCTTTTTAAAAATACTTTTTAGATATGCATGACAGTAGTGTATTTTGACATATCATACATACATGGAGTATAACTTCCCATTCTTTTATTTATTTATTTTTTAGTTGGACACAATATATTTATTTATTTTTATGTGGTGCTGAGGATCGAACCCAGGACCTTGAATGTGCTAGGCAAGCGCTCTACCGCTGAGCTACAACCCCAGCCCTAACTTTCCATTCTTGTGGTTGTACATGATGTAGAATTACACTGGTCATGTTTATATATGAACATAGGAAAGCTATGTCTGATTCATTCTACTGTCTTTTCTATTCCCATCCCCCTCCCTTTCTTTTCCTTCATTCCCCTTTGTCTAATCTGTCCGACATAGACCCACCTCATATAATTCTTGTAAGGATTAAGAATTAAATTATTCCCTGTCTTCAGTTCCCAGTACCCCCAACTCCCCACAAATTAGCTATATTATTTCCTTTCTTTAAATCCTGAGACTCTATGCATAAAATACTGGAAGTATCTCATAGAATCAATACAAGACTAATTGGAGCTGAAGGGAGTTGTGTGATTAACGACCATTAGGCCTCAAGACAACTTGGAATAGGTTTGCTGAGAAGACTTGTAGGATGGTCTTATTTGGGAGCAGAAGTAAACACAGCTTATACATATCCAGGTTTCTCCAATAACAAGGTTATGAAATTACTAATGTAAAATCTTAACAGGCCTTGGAAGTGGCTTAAAGCTTAAGTTTGATGAAAAACATAATCAATAATTTATGAAACAATGAAAAAGATGAGAAATCTAGGATGAACAGGAGGTAAAGTTCACCTAACGGAGCAAAATGACAACCCAGTATAACAAAATCATAATTCCTATTACATCATTTGGCTATTTTTGCACCTCTATGGATTGCAGCTCAGAGGTCACATAGCTGGCTAGTAAGATGTCAAGACCCTTAGACGGAGGACCTATGTGAAGGATAAGCACTGACAGATAACACACAAGCAAAAAATGTGCATATTTGGAAAGAAAAGGCTTAGGAGTAGTAACGAATGCCAGTTATCCAATAAAGTGATAAAACTGGATTCCAGTCCTACATTTCTCTCGGCTATTAGGCTTTGCTAGACGCCAGGTTTCTTTAAAAGCCAGCCCTGGTCCAGCACACTTTTCCTGGGACAAAGACAGCCTGAGAAGCAGAACTAAGAAGTTATTCTTCATCATAAAGCAGTTTTTAGTGGAGGCGGTCTTAAGAAAGTCCATGAGTAACTATTTTCATTTTCTGATTGGCAGGGCTCCGCCCTTCCCCTCTCCGACAAATGAGAGGCTGGGCCGGGTGGGCACTCAGCTTGCATCAGGCAGCCGGCCACTAGAGGACCTCTAACTTTCTCCCTTCTCCGGTTCAGTTGCGAAGACTGAGTTAAGGTGCAAAATGGTTGCCTCTTCGCTCTCTGTCCTGCGAGCGTGCGGGTTGTGCCAATGGGGCCTGAAGAATTGGGCGCGGCTGTCAGGGCCTCCTCTGCTTAGGCTGGGTGGCCGCAGCACTTGGGCTTCTTCACGGACAACTGCGACACTAAGCCTGAAGCCCTCGGGGCGCTGCTGCTGGGACGAGCCGCTGCACATCGCCGTGCAAGGCCTGGCCCCCGAACAGCCGGTCACGCTGCGCGC